GAAGCAAGACATCTCATGGGCACAAAAAGAAAAAGGTTCTACCAAGAGTGAGTCTTGGTATGAATGGCCAATTGTACGGTTATTTAGATTGCTCTACATCTTTTGCTATCTGGGACAAGGAAAGAGTTGGGCTTTGACATCAGAGAGACTTGAATTTGTACCCAGTCTTTTCCAAGAGTCCTCGTTTTCCCATCTTTGAAATGAGACTAAGAATTTCTAGTTTTTAAGATTCTTAGCTTGTATGAAATAAAATATGAAACATTCCATCTCTCCCTTGGTTAGTGGTGCATATTAAAAAGCTCAATAACTGTTAATTCTCTTGTTTGAGGGTGCAGTTCTCCACTGTGGTGTTGTGACATAATCAATTTTTCAATTGTGTTTAAAGTGGTTTGTTACTAATAACACAATTCTGAAGTTTGCAAAGGATCCACTTGTTAAATATAATTTGCATATATTCAAGATTTCCTCTTAATAATATTGCTCTTACTTGGATTCTTTATGTGCTTTTTCAAAGGGAGATAAAGTGGGAGAGTCTCAGCTAATTATCTGGGAAGTTCTCGTAGTTTATAGGCTTTCTTATCTTTGTCCATGGGTGTTTATTATTTATCCAGTGTCAGCCCCTATATCTGGTATTAAAAAAGAGAAGCTTCTGGAGCTGCTTTAGAAGGTCATCACCTTAATATTAGCACTATTAACAGTTCTGATTTGATGTGGTTGATTAAACTGGATTGCAAATATCTATGATGTAATTAAATTTTCTATTACCTTAAAAACTAAACACTGTCCCCTGGGTATGAAACACATGTCATGATATGTGTACCAAGTTTGTCAATGGTGAACTCAACAACCAAACACTGTTCTAATTTTTTTTATCTTTCCAAGCAATGTCCAAAGACTAAATCATTTTCTATTAATCAAATGACAGAGCAACATTAAACTAGCCCTTCACAGCTCTAATGGTTTCCCTGTAATCAATTTTTCTGTAGATGGCATTTATATTCAACTGTAGTTCACACTGTGAACTCAATTCAAAAACAACTTCTTATGTTACACTTCTAAGTAACAGCATGGGGTTGACATTTGGGCAAAAGAGAAAGAACATAAGTGCAAGATGAAATAAAAGCTTAATGCTTCCTTTATGTCTAAATATGGATTGATTGCATATTTACAGCAAGAAAGAATCCAGTACAGAATGCTAGTCAGTCAACGTCAAATTGAGCCAAAATTTGCAAACACTTTCTGTTACTGTGTCTGAATACTTCTTTCTATATAAAAAGTATTTTGTTTGTTATATTTTTTCTTTTCCTCTTGGAATTTATGTAAATATTTTTTTTTCCTTTCCTTGTAAATCTAAACTCCATTTAAGTGATATCTGTGTGGATCACAGTATATTTGCAATTTCTCTGAGTTGCCTTTTGGAAATACATCATCTTCACTAAGCTGTGGTACTTACAATGGAATCCCTGATATTTATTTAAGAACAATAATAACAACACTAATATCATTATCATCAATAGCAACAATAATAACTAACACTGAAGAAGCTTTGCACATGCTTTATTTTCTTCATCTTACTTTTTAAAATTTATTTCAGTTCTTTGTCTTTTTCTTGTTTTAGGTTGCCTCCCCACTAAAAGAGAAATTGCCTGAAGGCAAGGATCTTGCCTGTTTCATTCGCCATTAGTTTCTCAGCACTTAACCCTGTTCATGGCTCATGGGAGGCATGATTTCTTGAGTGGATGACTGAATCATCCTGTTTTTCCAAACAAAGGCTTTGTATCTCTTTAGCTTAGTCAATTAGAATATGCAGAGATTTTGGTAACTGTGAGCTCTACTTTCTCAGACTCTACAATGGAAGATCCAATATCGGATTAAAAATCTAAACAGTGACAGTTTGAATGTATGATGAATGCAGGCATTTTTTTGCTGTCACCACTATTCAGAGGTAATCTTGATGTCATCTCAAGGACATAGAAAATCAAAGTAACATCCAGGGATAGCACTTGGAATCGGGGCTATCTTCAATGTTTCATTAAAGCCATTTCTCATCTATGCTTTGGATGTCCTTCTATGACCCTTAAAGAAAATTTCTGCAACAAATTTATAAAGAAAAAGAAATAGGAAGTAGCTGTGCTTTCTTACTTTAAAAAATGCAAAGAAAGTGAAATCACATCTAAAAGAGGAGCATAATGACACATGTTACCGCACACTGAGCCCTCAGTGTATGACAGCCTCTGTGTCACCTTGGTGTACCTTATATCCTTTAGTTCTCAGAGCAAACACTAGAGGTAAGTACCATCTGTGTTTTTTAGATGACAAAATGCATTCAGAGTTATCAAATAATTAGACTTGTCACACAGATAGTATTAATATGAGGCTGAGCTGGGATTCATATCCAAATTTCACTCACTCTGAAGTCTCATTCTAACTCTTTCCAACACCGTCTCACAATGGGCCAACATTGTTAGAACTCCCAGAAAATAAAAATGCGAATACTTTAAAGAAGAAACTTTGGGGAGGTTATAGAGCAGTAGAAAGGACATTTGACTGTTGATAGGCATGGCAGGAGCACTACAAGCTAAACAATTCCATGAAGACAGGTGAGTGAATGTCAAACTTTAGAAGACCAATAAAGGTGGTACTTCTAGGGCTAGATAAAGAATGGGACAGAAGGAACTTTCAGACAGATTGTAAAAGATCTCATCTGCCTTTTTCTGAGACAATGGCATTTGGTGGGGAGTGAGGAGTGTGATTGCATTTTATGAAGAAAAATCTCAAAGCAGTTTGAGGCTTAGACTGAAGATATGAGAGTCTGGAGGCAGAGGGACTGTTTAGATAGTTAGAGAGGAAGATTGTGAATGAGCCCAGTGGTCATGAAATGAAGAGCTTTCATGGTCACGGTGTATCAGTCTAACAGATGTCACGACAAAACTTTTCTAGCATTCGTGTTCTCACACGTAGGAATTAAAATACCAAGCTCCTTGATATGTTACAATGATTCAGTGAGACATGGTACGAAAAAAACTAATACAGGGCTGGGGACACAGAAATATTTAATATTTTAAAATTGTGGTAAGCAAAATAAACACTCCCCACAAACATATTCACATCCTAATCCTTAGAACTTGTGGAAAAGAACCTGTTACTTTAAATAGAAAAGAGGAGTCTGCAGATGTGATTAAGGTAAAGGTCTGGAGACAGGGAAGTAATCCCGAATTACTCAAGGTAATCACAAGGGTCTTACGAGGGAAAGAGAGTGGCAGGAGAGTGAGGGTTAGAGATTTGATGATAAAAGAAGAGGGTCAGAGCCAGAGATCTGCAGGGACCCTACATTGCTGGCACTGAAGATGGAGGAAGGGATCACAAGCCAGAGGATGCAGGTAATCTCTAGAAGTCAGAAAACAGGGAAACAAATTCTCCTCCAGAACCTCCAAAGGTGGTGCAGCCCTTACACACACCTTGATTTCTACCCGGTCAAACCCACTTCTGACTGCTGACCTCCAAAAATGAGAACAAATTTGTATTGTTTGAAAACACTATGTTTGTGACAGTATGTTATGATAGGAGTAGGAAACTAGAACAGTTACCATTCTATTTTCACAATGTCTGTGATACAGACTGTCAAAGGAATGAAGCCAGAGGACTGACTGGTATTCAAATACAACAGGATGGAGACTTGTACAACCTTCTCACTGTTAAGTGCTTGTTGCCTATTTTTATAATGACACCGAAGCATACGTACTGGTAAAGGCCACATTTAAGAAATATTGAAACTATATTTTGATGAAAGAAATTAGGAATTATAAGGGTACTTTGATTTAGTTAAGAAAGCTGAATGCTTAAAGAAACACTAATTTTCACTTTAAATTTTCTGACTATCCTTTCACTTTTCCCTTAGTAGGTATATTCCATGTATGTTGGGTGAAATTACTTCTTGTTAATTGAACTGTTTTCAAAAGATATATTTCCTACTTTTTGATGAGCTGATCATGTGTTACTGCCAGACTAACCACCAATAATGTTCTTGGCGTTTAATACAAATTTGAGTCAAGCCCATTTGTAGGACCAATTGGGTCAACTGAACAAACTTGATGTCAAAGACAAGGAGATTTCTGCTTGAACACATAGAATAGGTTAGCACAAACTAACACATGTTTAATTTAGGTTGCATGGACAAATTCTTATTGAGATTTTCTGTATGTCTCATATATACACATACATATATAAAATATGCATGTCTTATGGATGTCACATAGATATATCTGTCTTTCTGAAGTAAATAATTAGTTTGTTGTTCAAGTTTCAATCCACCTTAAACTAGTCAATGTGATTATGTATAATAAAAGTTGACCTGAGTCTGGCTCAATAACTGCACAAAAATGTCAGCTTATCATGACACAAATCTGTGTTTTCTAAAAATGCTACTCTTACCCGTTTTTAATCACCCTTGATTTTGCTTGAGATAGAAACTGAATTACACACAAGAGGTTTTTGTGAGTTTGGCATCTCTCAATCAGCTAGAATTAAATGTCTAGGCAATCTTAAAACTGCTGATTGATTGGAGATTTCCATCGAGATTTGCAGAAAAAAGTCTGAAGGAGGCAGACTACTCCAGAAGGAACACAGAAGCAAATCATACATACAGGTATCTGGCAAAGACTTCATCAATGTAGTGAACACTGAGTAAAACAGGAAGAGGAACAGAACTGCATCTTTAGGCAACCCATTCTTGAGAATCACTCACAGCCCATCCTGTCTCAAACTGGGTGGATTGGAGGAAAGCTGGTTCAGGAATTTTGGGTCCATACATATTCTCTCCTTGAAATGAACTGATCCCAGAGGCTTTTTCCTTACATGTTTCCTTTTTAGCAGTTTCATAGCACTTTGTACTTTGCAACATGCTCCCACAATCAGCATCTCGTTTGTGCCTCATCAATAATTTGGGAAGGCAGTGAGGACAAAGATAATTTCCATTTAACAGATAAGAAAATTAAAGTAATTTATGTAACCAAAACGTTTGTACCACTGTAATATCCTGAAATTTAAAAACATAAAAAAAAAAGAAAATTAAAGCATAAAAATGGAATGTCTTGTCCTGTTTTAGGTCATGAGTTAGTGACGTACCCCAGAATTGGAACACAGGTCTCTTGACAGTGAGTCTGGTGCTGTGGAAATAATTGGATAATCTATTTCATCAAGGGCCTATTAATTGAGAAGATTTATAAGTTCTTTTGGACATGATGCATATAGGCATAAGGGTAAAAAAAACTTTAATATCATTTGATTTCCAAACTCTACTCAACCACCTATTTCTTTCCAATACAGAGAAGTTGTCAGAATATGACATTTATAGGCAAGCTAGATTTGTCCTTTTTGTCAGTGGCAATACATTTTTCTTAGTCTTTGTCAAAATTCAGCAGCTATATTTGTTAATTTCTGTTCATCAGGATTCAGAGGCCAAAAAATGTGTTTTAAAAAGCTTATGTATGTGAATAATTTATGTTTAACAATGTATAAGGAATACATAAACATTATGCAATCACAAAAATACATATTGCAGCTAGCTACTAAGAAGTCTCCTCAGTTCAAACCCCTGCTAATTTACTACTGTGCCTCCTATTATGGAGTATTTGTGCAGTACCAGACTTAGTTAGAAAACAAAGGCAGCAAAAATCAACCGTTCATCTTTTATCTGTCAAGCCAACTATGTGACAGACACCTCACTGATTATCAAGAAAGAAAAGAAGAAGAAGAGTCCATTCTTAGATTTCAGGGGCTTCTGAGTAAACTACAGTGCTAAGGTATCCTAAGAGGAAAGATCTAGGTATCTAACAGTGCTGGGGTGCACTCTAGGACTCATATGATAAACAAAAACGAACAAAAACCATTTACTAAGCATTTACTAAAGTATGTGCTAGGCACTTGTTATTAATTATCTCTTTCAACCTTGAACAAAATCCTATGAGAACATAAATACTACTTTTTCTTCACTTTGCAGGTGAGGCTACTGAGACTCTGAAAGATAAATGACCACCTAACGTTCTGAGGATGGGAGGTCAGTTTTGAACTCATTTGAGGGGAGCGCATCAAAGTCAGTATGCTTAAATCTTACACTCTCCAGACTTTCATCTAGGTACTCAGAGCATTTCCCCTTTTGGAATTCCAGAAAGATCAAAAGAGTTTATTTTGATTATTACCAGAAAATTTCAACGATTATCCATAGTTAAGGGACACACCAACTAACCAAACTAACCAAGCAGTAAAATGATGAGGTGGGGAGAATGAAATGGACATTGAGTGAAGTAAAAGGTTTCTATTCACAGATCAATCTTGTCCCCTGCAGCGTGATGTGTACTTACGGGATTTTTTGGTGGTGACATTGACTGGGGGGCTTGAGGGCCCTGTCCCAGCAGTGTTGTAGGCTCTCACAGAAGCAAAGTAGATGGTATTAGCTTTCAGCCCTGTGATGTTTTTGGTTGTGACATTTCCACTGACTCGAATTTTACCAATCATGGATTCTTTGGAATCATCTGTCCAGTATAATACCTGATGATTAAAAACACAAAACAAGCAATTCATTGTTTGCCAACAATTATCGAACACAAGGGATATGGGAAGAAAACAGGAGCAGAGATGACAAAAATATTTTGTAATTAAAACGATTACACAATGACGATCAAATGACAAAAGACTAACATTTATAGTGAGGAAACAAAAAATACAGCATATAAATACAAATTCACAATAGAAATTAGAGAACTTAGGCTTTTTTGGATTACCCAAATAAAGTGTTACATATCTAAAGGTTACCAGCTTTATTAAAGGATATATAATAAATTAAGCCAAAATAAATTTCATATGATCAAAGACTTTGATTACAATGTTTTACTGTTGACATTTTCTCGTGAGTTCTTTCAATCACAAGTTAATTTAATTTATACTGAGCTCTTCTTATGTGTTAGCATTCTTTTGGGTACATTGAGAAAGACAAAAGAGAATAAAGCTTAGCACTTGTTTTCAAGCCCTTTATCATCTAGCTAAGAGGTTAGACTGTGCAGTGTATGTCAAAAGCAATAAGAGGACACATTGCAAAGAAGTGGTATAGAAAAAAATGCTGTAAGAATTTGAATAAAGACAGCATCAGGGGTTGATGAGAGAAGAGGAGACTAGAGATGAGCTTTGAGAAACAAATAAGGTTCAGATAAGTGGTAAGGCATTTTCACCATGGAGAGACAATGATACCTATCACATGAGTAGAGATTTTTGCTTGGACCGGAAGGTTCTTATAAAAGCAAACAAACAAAAAAGTGGGAAATAAAATTAAAGATATTCAGAATCATAGACTTATTCTAACTCCAAAATACAATAGACTATGTTACCCATTTTGTGAATCATTGGATTCCCAAGGTGAACAATGAGTGATTGACAACTTTCCCTAACCATGTCCTCATCCCTCAACTTGGTGAGAATGCAGGCCTACAAATGTGACTTGTCCCATTCTTCGTAGACTATAAAGAACAGATTTAGGAG